GAATTTTTCGCCTTCTAAAAGTTAAGAAAGAGTTAAAAGGCAAAAAAGTTAAGATGCAAAAGAGGCACTAATTCTCCCGCCTCCTGATCTGGAAGCAGCAAATCATGTCTTCTTGAGCACGCTTACGTTGGGCAGGCTATTTCGGAGGGCGTGCTTCAGAGGAGAGAGGAGTGGGGAAAAAGAGGAGGCTCGCTCTTTGCTGCAGACCTGGGCGCTTGGCGGCTCCTGCAATGCAAAGTGCCCCGCCGCCCCCGATGCTGCCGCCCGCCCGCTGCCCCGGCCTGCTTCTCCAGGCTCCGCCGCTGGAAGTCCCGGATCGCCTCTGGGGGAAGGCTGGGTGAGAAGCGGAGCGAAGCTTCTCCGCGGCCTCCTGGCACTGCGCAGAGGCTCTCGCAGGAGCGTGTGCCAGCGGCCGGCGGCCCGGAGCGGCCCCAGCTGCGAGACAAGGCAGCGCTTAAAGCAGCCGCTGCCGCCGCCACCACCCCTCCTGCTGGCCCCTGCACATGTGCAGCAGAGAGCTGAAAATCAGCTAGCCAGCAAAAGGCATGTGCACATGCATGCATGTGCAGTGGAGCCGAGCTGGGACGAAGGCTCACGTGTCCGTAGAGAGGGTTCTGCATTCCACCTGTGGCACGCTTGCCATAAGTTCGCCATCACAGTGCTATTCTGTTCTTTCTGGATATTAATATCACTTCATTTATTCTTCTTGGAAAATGTATTTTAGATTAAAGTAAATTATATAACAAAATGCAGTTGTAGTTCTTTTGAAATTATGCAGAAATCTTACAATCTTGAAAGTCTTTTTTGCATGTTTTGTCAAAGTATACATTAAGAACACATTTAACTTTGATGAAAACATTTGTGTTCCCTTATTAATACAGGATTGGATTATAGGTTTTATGATTGAAACCTAGTTTTGACTCATAAGGCTAAGGTGATCAGACTCAAATCTATGTATTTTTTAATTTACTGAATAAAAGCAACAACTTCCTTTTTTCAGTCAAGTGTAACTGAAAGTATGTGCTTACTATGTGCACATAGTCATATGTTTGTATATGTGCTCCACTACTGTGCTTCTCCAGAGCTTAGATCAGCTATCAACACAAGGAAACTTTGGGTATGTGAGATGCCTGACCTCATCCTTCAGTGCTGAAGGCCTGTGGGTTTGGTCCAGAAACAGGAATTCCCTGCACAGACACTGAGTCTGCTGAAGGAGACAGGAGAGCAACAGCTACAGAAGAGGACTTTGTTCCCAACCACCAAGGAGAATTTACACAACAGACACACATGAACACTCAACACCATGGAAAAGCAACATTTTCTAAAACACTCTCTCTCTTTTTCTTGGTCTACACAAGGACTTAATTTGTTTTAAATGGAGAAATGGGATATGTGTGCAATACAAATAAGCTAGATCTTAAAGCACATGATGAAATATCATCATTATCATTATTATTAATCTTCAATTTGATTCCCAGTAAGATTCAAAGCTTATTGTTGTTGTTGCTGCTGCTGCTCCTGTTGTTGTTGTTGATGATGATCATTGCACAATCAGTCAGATGTTCAGACTCAGTTTGCCATTTTTTTCCTACTAATTGAGTCCTTACCAAGGACCTGGGATAGGTAGATCTAGATGTTTGTTACAGATACCATTGCAGGATGGAAGTTGTTCCAAGTAAAGCCTCCTTTTGCAATTGACTGATGGTAAATTTGTCAATACCAATGGTATTTGGTGGTGCTCAGTTGTTTTGGGATTGCATTCAATGCACCTATTACTAATGATACTCCCTTTGCTTGGCTTTGCAACAGTCATTCTATTTCTATTTGCAGGTCTTTGTATTTTATTAACTTCCCCACTTCTTTATATTCTGTTCTGCTGTCTACAGACACTGCCACATCCACTATCTAGACTTTTTTGTTTTTCTTATCGACAGTTGTTAAGACGAGGGTGTTATGTGACAGGTGCTTGCTCTTTGAATTCTAAAATCAACACCTTCCTAAGTATAACGACATACTATGAATGCATTAACTATGTCCATTTTGCTCTTTAAACTAATGGAGCCCTAATGCTAACCCTAAGTATTTGCACCCCAATGGCATTTTTCCAGATTACTTAGTTGAAGCGGGCTTGAAAAGTCAACACCCTCCTAAGTATAATGACCCGCTACAAATCTGTTGCCAATACTTACGTGCTTGAAATCCATTGGTGATGTACATTTGGGTCTCCAAATTACTGGATATGTAAAAGTTGAAATGGGCACCCAATAATTTCTGTAATTTTTTTTTAGAAATAAAATAGATAATAGATTTTAAGCTTTCTGCTTGATTATCAGAAAAGCACATAGCTTTACATAAAATAAACATAATTATAAAGCTCATTATAAAAGCCATTCTTTTCCATTAATAGTGACTTGCCATAATGATTGGTTCTAGCCTCACTCCTATTTAATCTATATACTAGTGGCCTACCATAAATCAATTCTGAAAATTTTTGCTTTGCTAATGTTATAGAATAGCTAACCTAACCAAAGATTTTGAGGAAATGGAATACATTCTTACTTAAGATCTGAGGTCACTAAGTCAATGTTATGAAAAGTGGAAGGCTATGTATGCCCTAATCAAGTAAAACCAAAGTATTCACCTTCCATCTCAGCAATCATATAACAAAGAAAGAGTTAAATGTAGCTTTTTGTGGGAAGAGGATAAAACACAACTACCATCCAAATAATATTTGACTGATCCTTTACACTTGGAAACATCTTGAAGTAATTGGACAAAAACTGAAAACCAAGAACAACTTGATTAGGAAAATCACAGGAATAGGCTGAGGAGCACAAACCAAAACATTGCATTAGTACATTGTACGTATATGTTGTTGCCGAATACTCTGCATCTGTATGGGGAAGATGCTGCCATACAAACAAAATTGATGTTCACCTTAATGACATAATAAGAATGATAACTGGAAGGCTTAAATCTATATCAGTCTCATGGCTCCATGTTTTTTCTAACATGGCCCCTCCTTATCTCAGATGACAACATCTGAGAAGTGGAATAAGATAAACATGTCATCAGTTCCTAGAGATCTTCCAATATATAAAATATTAGACTCCCTACCTCTTACCAGACTTAAGTCTAGGAAACCAATTTGGGATAACATTCCACAGTTTTACAATCTAGATAAAGAATGGAAATTAACATGGGTGACTTTTAATAACCACAACCAGACGGATCACGCAAATCCAACAAAAAAATTCTATTGGTTGTGGCTTCCTTGGTCACATGCAACTTCTAATTAATAGCAAAATGTATCCATGTAAATATATTTTTCTACAACAAAATTGAAAATAAATTCTAACCAAAACTAAGTTGATCTGATA